GAATGTGAAATTGATTGTCAGTCATATATGACTGACATGGCCTGAATGTGAAATTGATTGTCAGTCACCAATGACTGACATGGCCTGAATGTGAAGTTGATCGTCAGTCATTGGTGACTGACATGACCTGGATGTGAAGTGGATCGTCAGTCATTTATGACTGACATGATACTCAACGTCTTAAACAATTTGTATTTTTATTATCTTTTAATTATTATTAGTGCAAAAAAGTATTATTATTATTATTATATAGAATACTTTACGTTAAAAAATATTTATAAAATTGGAAAAAAGAGTAAAAAGGGGGCACGAATTATTTGATCCTGCCATTATTTAAGATTGTCGAACAATTCTTTACAAAAAAACAAATGAAAAATATCTTTTTTTTTTTCTTTTTCTATCCAAAAGTCCAAATCTTATTATTTCACACACACATATATACACACACTCACGTTTAAAATCCCACTTATTGAAATATATCCTTTTAATTATTATTTAATTAATTCGATCATCACAATTATTTTCTCTCAAATGGATACAATTATTATTAATTAATTCGATTTTTTTTACAACAACAACAACAACGCGATTCTTAAGAATGTAAAACGTTCTTAAGTTACAAAATTAATCCAACAATCGTTTATTATTTTATTTAATTATTATTATTATTAATTAATTAAAATCTAAATGATATGTGTGGTGTTGTGTTATTGCTCGTTTGTCACGCATAATTTCAATTAAATTTATTGAAGAATGATTCAAAATTTTATCTACTATTTGTTTTTTTTTTCTTTTATCTTACATTTCTAACATTTAAAATCTATTTTATAATACAACTTAACATTATTGCTCATTCATATATAAACAATTTTTTTTTAGTAATACAAATTACTTAAGTACTCCCCTATTTTTGTGTTTTGTTTTAAATATTCTATAAACATTTCAATATATGTAAGATGATAAAAATAACTTACAAAAATATAGTAATAAGATTAATAATAAAAAAAAAATAAAATAATAATAATAATAAAACGATCAGATCAATGATCAAACTTCAATCAATTCTAATTTCTAAACATTAACTCGATATTATAATTAATTAATACTAATCGATTTAAAACGACGCATATTTATAAATGTCTCATTAAAATATACATTTAAAAATAATACAGTTACAAACCTAACTAATTTTAATTATACAGGGTGTTCTAAAAGTCATAATAAAATTACTTTGTTTTAAAAATCAAGATAATTGAAAATATGATAATTCGTATGATAAATATAACAATTGTTGAATGCATTTTTTTTTTCGTACAATTATATGATTAAAATGATTTTCAAAACACCCAGTGTTTAATATATCAATTTAGTGAAAAAAAAAAAATGATTCATGGTAAAGTAATTAAAATATGATTTTCTTTAGCAGCTCGTTACCGAGGAAAATTACTTGGAAAAGTACTCACAAGAACTAAAGTGCTTTTCAACGATATTCATATTCACTTTGTAACTCGTCAAAGGTATATAAGGTAAAGCATTAACTTGTTTCACTTCAACAGAATTTCTATTAAAATCTGCTAAGTAGTAGTAAAGTCTTAACATAAACTTAAATAGTATTTTAAAATAGATTTTATGAACAGGATGATTAATTGTTACTTCAAAAACGATCCTAAAAGAAAATCTTAACCTAAATACATATACATATAATAGGTATAGTAAAAGCTGCCAAGGGCAAAGGTATAATATCTTCATTTCTGGAAGACTATGATCGTCATTTTAAAACGATCAAATGATTCAAACTTCTTTAATCTAATTACGTGCAATAATGTGCGTTTTATGTGTGCATGTGTGTACCAGTATTTTATCTAAATCTCGTTTTAACACGTTGAACGCCACGTCAGTCATCGATGACTGACATTAGACTTTACGTTTAAGCCACGTCAGTCATCAGTGACTGACATTAGACTTTACGTTTAAGCCACGTCAGTCATCGGTGACTGACATTAGACTTTACGTTTAAGCCACGTCAGTCATCGGTGACTGACATTAGACTTTACGCTTGAGCCACGTCAGTCATCGGTGACTGACATTAGACTTTACGTTTGAGCCACGTCAGTCATCGATGACTGACATTAGACTTTACGTTTGAGCCATGTCAGTCATTTGTGACTGACATGTTCACATTTTTCAATACAAAGTAAGGCCTGTGGCCTGTCGGGGACTTCCTTAAAAGTGGGCGTGGCGCTTAACGTGTTAATTAACTAACACTAACGATAATGTCGTGAATAATAATTTAATTTATTTACTAAGGACGACAAGAATTAATTATGAAAAAAAAAAAGAAACGAGAACAATTCCTTGCGATTAGATTAAATATTACAGGGACGTATTCATTTTATAAGGCACAGGTGTGTATACATTAAAAAAAGGGTTCTTTTATTTAAAACCTTTTTTTTTTTTTTGGTTTTTCTTCAATACGCACAATTTTTTTTTACAATATTTTAATTTGATTATATTTTCAATGGAATTGAAATTAAATTTTTATTTATGTAAATTGATTACGCGCGTTACGATAAAATATATCATAGAAAGTAAAATAGTGGAATTAATTCTCATTTTTTTCTTCTTTTTGCATAAATAATTAAGTCGTCCTATGCAAAACGTGTAATCACGTTTGCTCCTAAGGCCTTTCATGGACGGAATGGCTGATAAGGAAATATATATATATATATTTTTTTTGTTATCTTTTTAAAATGATTATTAACCCTTTGTGTACTGAATTTTTTTGATAATTTTTATATATAACGAATTTAATTTGTTACTGTAATTCTATATGAATTAAATATGTAAATGTAATACATTTTATTTGTAATATATTGTTGCAACAATATTTCAATTACAAAAGTATAAATGAAATAAAATAGAAATATTTATAGATATATATATATATAATGAACTTTTTAAATTCTGATGACGAGTCAGACACGTCAAATGTACCCAAAGGGTTAAAATACTATTGAAACGAAGTATCAAGATGGTATTATTATATATATATGTATACTAAATTATTAATTATTGTTACGAATATATAAAGTACTTAAAGATAATATTGTATTTTTATTATATTTTTTTTTTCGCGATTAAATTCTATTATCAAGGAAATTTACGCGAAGGTGTGTTTGCACTCCTCCGGCGCGATGACGTCATTTAGAAAAAAAAAAAAGGTACGTCATATAGTGAATATTATAAACATAAAATTATTTAAGTCACACAGCCGCTCGGTTCGCTAACGCACGAAAAAAAAAAAAAACAAAATAAAACGTTTCGTTCGTTGCTTCTCCATTTCTTATTTCTTATCATACTTTTTTTTCTTTTTTTTTTTTTTTCTTTTTTTAACGCGTTAGTAGTTCAAACGGTTTATCTGTACATTACACATTTTTTCTAAGTTTCGTAATACTTAAAAATATTTATTAAAAATTAAGAAGAAGAAGAAGAAGAAGAAAAAAAAGAAAAAAAAAAAAAAAGAATTAATGATATAATGATAAATAATATTTACAATAATAAATTCTGCAAACACGAGTCAAGTAATTATATATATATATATATTTCCTATGATTTATTTTATATTTAAATTATTTAATAATAATATAAAATAAATTTATATGTTTTATCTTAATTTTAATATTTTTTATTTAAATATTTATATGTTTTGTTTTATGTATTAATATTTTATTTAAATTTAAATATAATATATAAATTTATTTTATATTTAAATTATTCCATAATAATATAAAATAAATCATATAGAATATATATATATATTTTTTTTTTCAAGAGGATACTGTATATATATAAAAAAAAAAATACTAACATCTAATACCTACATTTTGTCGCCCATTATGATTATTTCTATAATTTATTATAGAAAAAAAAAAACAAACAAACAAACAAACAAAAATAATTAAATATTTCCTATAGAAAAATTCGAATGGTAATTATGCATTTGTTGCATCCTAATTTGTTTGTTGTTGTTCAAAAAAACTAACGTGAATTTCTTTTGTTAATGTAAAATTGTTCTTTTTCTGGGTAATAATTTTAAAAGGAACTCTCACGTTTGGTACGAAGCTGTGCAGCTTCAGGACTCGGTGTCATGGCAGGATTATCATAAGCGTAATCTAATGTTGTATCCTCGCTAGGATGTCTCCTTGATAAGGGTGTACTAGTTGTATTAGGTGTACTATTGCTGTTTGAATTATCCTCCGAGGAAGATACGGTCGCACTTATCGTCGGCATTGTTAATTTCAAATTATTTTGATTATTGTTTGGATTATTATTTTTTACATTACCATTTTCAACGTCGTCCTGTACCTTGTTGTTGTTAGTTGCCTTCTGAAATTTCATCTTATTAATTATAAGTACCTTTTTCTGGTATATTTTTATTCATTATATTTTAATTATCTTTTCGTTTTTTTATTTGTAATTCAATTTTATTATTTTTTTTTTTTTTTTATAGAAATAATTTTTTACCAACCTTGACCCATTTTTTGGAGAAAACGTTACGTATCGCATTTCCAATTTTGTCGCATCTTATAAAAGTTTTGATTAGAAGAAATACAATGACCATAATTGCCAAACATGTTAACGTTAATGTAACGCTTAACAAAATACGTAGTCTGTCGACTTCTCCTGAAAAATATTCAAACTGTTACTTATCCGTTTGACGATAAAATATTATTTATAATTCATAAGAGAATTATTACACACACACACAAAATAACACACACACACACGAGGAAGTTAGTAAATTTTCACTTACGAAATCAACGAAGCGTTTTGTGTTTTCTTTCAACGATTAACACGATTTCCCTTTATACTTTTGATAAGAAATTTATTTCATGACTTTCACGGTGTATAAAATTGACTACCATGTGTTTGTAAGTGAAAGCGATTTTTACTTAACTATAATATACATTGTTTTTAAATTGTATAGTAATATAAAGAGAGTGTATAATTTAATGTTACCCGGAAGAAAATGAGAACACATTATAACTATACCTTTCATTAACATAAATAAAATCTACCGGTTACTAAAAAAACGTAATTTGAAGTTATGCTAATTTCTTAATACTGAATATGTTTCAGGTTCTATAATATAACTCAAAATAATTAATTAAGTGCATTAATTAAACATCCAATGTGTATTTATGTTCAATTATATGATTAATATTACAAATTTATATTATTTGAATTATTTGCAATGATAACAATCCCCACCATATATTAAATAAATCATTTCTTGAATTATTTCCAATAACGAGTGAATTGTTTTTTTTTTTTTTTAATGAATTTGTAGCTTTAATAATTAATAAAAAATGATAAAGTTTCGAGAAGATGTTTGATTTCGATAAAATATAGTCATCTTCTAAAAGTCGTTGAAATCACCAGGACTCGGGACGAATTATATTCGTTGTTTTTTATTTGAAAGGTTGAAAGGATGACTCAACGATGAATTAGCATTCACCAGAGGTACAAACTTACCTCTTAGCTGATCGTACTGGTTCAGTTCCTCACGAAGTGCATACTGGTTTAGTTCCTTACGAAGGGCGTATCGTTGATCATAAATATATTCTGAAATATAAATTATATACATGGCCCGAAATTCATTTTCACCCATTTATTCTTCGGTTCTTTATTATTTTTTATTATTCATAAATATCAGTAATATTATTAGATTCATATATATATATATAGTCAATGTTTAAAACAAAAGTTACTAATATTTATTTATACTAATATTCTGAATAAACCTAGTGGAAAATATAATTGTACAAAAACAAAAGTACACATTGTTTTAACAATATTACATTTTCAATTGTATTTTACATTTTAATTTGAAATTGTATTGTACATTTTAATTTGGAATTGTATTGTACATTTTAATTTGGAATTGTATTGTACATTTTAATTTGAAATTGTATTATACATTTTAATGTGGAATTGTATTGTACATTTTAATTTGGAATAGTATTGTACATTTTAATTTGGAATTGTATATTACATTAAAATTTTGAAATGTAAGTTCCATTTTTCATTGCAATTTTCAAACAATACGTTCGTGCAAAAATGTAATTCAACATTAAAAGTATAACATTACAATTTGATATTTTATTATTATCATGTAATATAAACGGATGATAGATATCAAACTAGTATTTTACATATCTTAATAACACACAGATAAAAAAAATATATATGAAAAATATTTATGAAAGAAATAAATGAACATGGATGAAATTAAACGATCAACTACTACCACGAGTGAAGTTATTCAATCCCTAAGAAAAAGATCTAACATTCTCACCCTGTCACGTTTCTTGATAAAACATTATGATTGATCACCGAGTATCCAAAAACATTGATCTCAAAAGAAGAATAGAAAAAGTTATGTTCTATAACTTCTTGATCGAAAGAAAGAAAGAAAGAAAGAAAGAAAGAAAGAAAGAAAGAAAATCTATTCAGGTTTCCTACCTGCAACGTCATCCATAGAACAAGCACCATTAATGAATAGAAAAATGATCGAAAAAATTCACTAGAAACGATCTTTACAATGTTACAACGATACCAATCAAAGAAATGATGAATAGATGATGAACTTTTCAAAAAAAAAAAAAAAAAAACAGAAAAATAATAATGAAATAAACAAATAGAAAAAAAAACAAAAATGTTGAATTGAATGATTGAAATTAATTGAAAATTCACAATTTGTACAATTTTTCTACATCAGACTTATGGAGTTTATTACCTGATGATAGAATATCAAAGGAGAACAAAAAAAAATGGCGTCAGTTGTTTAAATGCGCAAGCGTATGATGTTTAGAGACATACTACAGTTCGACTTTAAGTTGCTTCCTAGCAACTTGCTTGCAAACAAAACGTTAGAGACGGTCGTTACCTTATTCAAGTTACTTGAGTAAAAGGAAGGAAGGCATCGACCGGATCGACCAACCGTTCACTATGTTTCGCGTGAGGAACGCGATGACTATAACCAAGTGAAGAGGAATGAAGAGGAATGAAGAGGAATGAAGGAGGAAGAGAATGAGGTGGTGGAAGTAGAGAAATTACTTGGGAAAATCCTGATTTTCTTATTCCTACAAAACATATTATACACGATTGTACGATTGTACGATTTTTTGCAAAGTTCTATTGATTTAAATAATACTTTCAAAGATAATACTTTATTATATTTAATTTTATATAAAATATTAAATTTTTTATATAATTAAAATTATATATATATATATACATATTTTTTAAATTAATTTATATAATATAAAATTTAAATTTTTTATATAATAATATTTAAAAAAAAAATATTACCTAAATACCTTCAAATACCTTCAAAGATACTACTTTTATAAATTTAATTTTATATAATAATATTAAAAAAAAATAAAAATACTACCTAAATACCTTCAAATAACTTCAAAGATACTACTTTTATAAATTTAATTTTATATAATAATGTTTAAAAAAAAAAAAAATACTAAAAAATATAATTGAAGTATTATCCAATAGAAAAAACGTCAACATAATTAAAATTCGATAATAATATATTTTTAAATAAATAATTATAAATATATATGAGATATGTTTGAGAATGGGTAAGAATATTCAGAATAATTCTGAATAATTCAATACATGGTTGGTTGGTTGGTTGGTTGGTTGGTTTTGTTGGTTTTGTTGGTTTGATTGGTTGATTACTTGCTCGACAAGTCTTTCCTATCAAAGAATAAGAAAAATAGCTTAACGCGTAGTAGCATTTACAATAAGAATCGATTTGGAAGGTAGTTTGAGATAACGCCTAATACCTTATAGTATGTATCTAATAGTACATAGTATATAAAGTGACTCATTGGACTCGCGATTATTTCGTTCGTTATGTATAATATATCTATATATATATATATATACATAACGTACATATCTACACACTTATCTTTTTCTCTTCTAAACTGATGTAGAATGAAAAAGTAAACTAGGTCAACATTGGCATAATCGTTTAAACGTATTACTCAGGGTTCTTCTACTGTTCGTTATATGAAATTATCTTTGAAGTTTTGAAAAGTTAAACAACAAATTCTACGAGATGATTTAATTTTCAATTATTACAGTGTATAATTCTAGAAACTATTTACGTTTTTTTTTTTTTTTAATGAAACTACGAATTTACAAATTTTTTTTCATTTTATTTAAACTTGAAAAACATTTACAACTGTTATTAATTTTTACTGAATTATAATAAATTTATTTATTGTATATTTGAATTATAATAATTTTTACTGAATTTATTATATATTTATTTAATAAATAATTATTATATTTTAATATTAATTATAATATATTTAATTGTTATATATAATATATTATATTATATATAATTATATTAT